GCTTTGGACAAGAAAGAACAGAAAGGGAAGTGCATTTCATGAAGGCGAGGCTTTAAAAAGAGAAAAACAAAAACACAGGTAGGACACTAAGTAGACCTTCAGAAGATTTCCAGATGAGGACCTTGGAGGTCATCTTGAGTGAGCTAAAGCAGGTAAAATACCTGCATGAAAAAGAGTTTTTTTAACCAGGAACTAATTAGAAAATATAAGGAAAATAACAGCAGGAAAAGTCTGACAGTACAAATTCTACACATCATATAGTGGATTGGTTAATAGTAAAACTTGAAATTTCTTAGAAAATTTGTATTATTTTTATTTAGAAAACAAAATACTGCATCTTTCTTTCTACAAGTGGAGAGTAACAGGGCATTGTATTACAAATGGATTCTTTTTCCTAACAGCATCTACATTTAGTGGCAAAGCCTCATCTCCGATAGCCTGTGAACACTGCTCTATCTTACACCTGCTACTTTATCTTATATATTATGTTACATTTAAAAGTTCAACACTTTTCAAATGTGTAAATCATCTCCATTTTAGATTCAGAATAAATTATGGCAGAAATGGTAATACACGTGACGTAAGAGACTTTAACCTGCACTGGTATCTAAACTTTAATTTTAAGGACAAACATATACATGATCTCTAAAGTCCTTTTATATTAAAAATAAAAAGTATGGCTGAGTGCGGTGGCTCACACCTGTAATCCCAGCACTTTGGGAGGCCGAGGCGGGTGGATCATGAGGTCAGGAGATTGAGACCATCCTGGCTAACATAGTGAAACTCTGTCTCTACTAAAAATACAAAAATTAGCCGGCTGTGGTGGCGGGCGCCTGTAGTCCCAGCAACTCGGGAGGCTGAGGCAGGAGAATGGCGTGAACCTGGGAGGAAGAGCTTACAGTGAGCAGAGATCGTACCACTGCACTTCAGCCTGGGCGACAGTGAGTCTCTGTCTCAAAAATAAAATTAAATTAAATTTAAAGAAAAGGTATGCGATTTACAATCTATGTATAATACCCATCGAACATGCAATCAACCAACCACCTACTGTGCTGTAAAAAATTAAAACTACATTTTTCATAAATCTTTAACAGAGACAACTGAAAAACACATACCGATTACAGACATACAAATGCAAATTACACACAATCTCAAGAGTAAGTAGCTCTCCCATTTCAAGAATATGAAGTCCAGGAAATGGATGACACAATGATTTGTCAAGTCAACTGGGTATACTTCCATTAGGGAAAAAGTCAGAATCAAGCAAAAATCAAAATCAGACAAGACGACTTAACAAGACAGAAAATAAGACAGCAATCTGACCCTATAGCAAGTGAAACAGTAAACACAGTACTTTTGTAAACAACTAAAAGTCATCATACTACTGAGTAGTTTTCTTTTCCACAGGCTGTTTCTGTTCAAAGAAAATAGTTCCACAGGCATGATGGTTCTTACTGGGGCAATAAAAATATTCTAAAACTGGCTTGTGATGGTTGTATCACTCAGTTAAGTTACTAAAAATTACTAAACTATAAACAAACTCTTCTTGGACTTTAGAGTAAATCAAAGCAGTGGCATCCAACTATACTATAATCCCTATATTTTTCACCACCACACTTTTGCAGTTTTAAAAAACACACAAAAAGTTTCAACTATGTCCTTGAATCAGGTAGCACAAATTAATTTTTAAAAATTTCAACCCTTAAGTACTAATCTTTCCAGTCTTCTGTATGACTAAATGGCAAGTATTCATAAAGTGCTTCTGCTGTGTGTGCACTTCACTGTCTTGGTTGTCCTTAAGGAAAAGCACTTGTGCAACTGAGAAACAAGATAAACCAGCTGCTTTTCTAATAGAACGCTATTTTTACTTGAAAGAATGGCAGACAAACCAAAGCTATTCAGACACTCAGACTTGGGAATTTGGCAGACATTTTCTAGAAAATGAAGTGAGCCTGTCCTTCAAGAAAAACAAATGATAAAAATTAGAGCTTTCAAGAAAAACTAGAATTTTGGAAAATTTGTATCAGCCACTGGGAGCTTGAAAGTTTTCCAATACTTAACCATTTCTATGGGTTTGATAGTGATGTTAATGAATGTGGTTTTTCTGGTGTTGTATAATGTCAACACACTGGAATACCTGCATAACTCACTGGACCAGTAAGTATTTCCCAAACCACCAATGAATGATACTATAAAATCATGCATGGGTGAAAGATCCATTCCAAGTGCAAGATAGCTCAATACAGTCTAGAATACCAGTATAGCTTAGGATCCCAAAAAGTTTAATGACATGGTTTCAGATTCTACATTACAAACAACCTTTTAAAAACTACTTTTTGTTGAGTATTGTATCTGTACTTCTTATTGAGTTTTACTGTATCTTCAAAAAAGAATATTCACAATTATCGGAAAAGGATATTATTAATAAAACACACCTTTCTTTTCCAATTACATGTGTGAAGCTAGGTTTTTCATCTTACAGTTAAAACACATCACAACAGACTGCAAGAAAGCAGGCATGAAAACTCAGTTTTCAATTAACCCAGCAACTGAAGGTCTGCAAAAATGTAAAGCAATGTCACTCTTCTCAATAATTCTGTTTTTAAAGTTACTTTCGTTAAAATTCTATTATGTGTTAAATCTAATCAATTTGCCATTCATTAATGAGAAAATGTTTTATTTGTTTTGATTTTTAATACAGTTAAGTCCTTACTTAACATAATCGGTATGTTCTTGGAAGCTGCAACTTTAAAACCAAATAACACTCTTTGATTATGAAGCTGATGAGAAAAAAAAAATGGTTTCATTATTCATTGTTTTGCTTACAGTTGCATTTTCCAAGAACTTAGAGACAATATTGAGGACTTACTGTATATACCAAGAGATAAAACCAATGCAAAGAAAATTACATTCAATAATTCTTTTTTTTTTGAGACAGAGCTTTGCTCTTGTTGCCCAGGCTGGGGTGCAATGGTGTGATCTAGGCTCACTGCAACATCTGCCTCCCAGGCTCAAGCAATTCTGCTTTGGCCTCCTGAGCAGTTGGAATTACAGGTGCCCGCCACCACGTGGGGCTAATTTTTGTATTTTCAGTAGAGATGGGATTTCACCATGTTGACCATGACTAGTCTCGAACTCCTGACCTCAGGTGATCCACTCGCCTCAGCTTTCCAAAGTGCTGAAATTACAGGCATGAGCCACTGCGCCTGGACTACATTCAATAATTCTTAATAGTGTAAATGAGTTCCAAGAGCAAAATGTCTAAGAACCATTGGCTGGTAAAAATACTCCAAATATAATTTTAATGTCATTTTTCTCTTCCTTCCAAATATCCAGTGGCTTTCAGTGTATATCTAATTAGAATGTTTAAGGAGAAGGGCTTTACTGGATGTTCAAATAGGGGTTTTTTTGCCCCACAGAGTGAGGATATATTCCCCTATGCACACACTTTTTAAATACTGACCAATACATTCATCAGGACCCAGAATCCTTTTAATGGAATCATTTAAAAACAAAGCAAAACCCCCTAGGATGCTTCCCTCAGTTAACCGATCTGATAATGCCACATATGGTATTTCAGATTTTGGAACATATCAGCCAAGTGTATAGCATTTTGTTATGATTTAGAATTTTTATTATTTCATTGGTTATATGAAGCCATTTTCATTTCTACAAGATAAAACGTAATGAAACTATAAAATCTTCATTTAGATGAACAAATAACAACAATATGAACTAAGAGTGTTAATGTAGGGCTGGGCCCAGTGGCTTATGCCTATAATCTTAGCACTTTGGGAGGCTGAGGCAGGTGAACTGCTTGAGCTCAGGAGTTTGAGATCAGCCTGGGCAACACAGCGAAACCCTGTCTTTACAAAATATAGAAAGATTAGCCAGGCATGGTGGCATGTGCCTGTAGTCCCAGCTATTTGGGAGGCTGACGCAGGAGAATGGCTTGAGCCCAGGAGGTAGAGGTTGCAGTCAGCAGCTGAGATAGCGCCACTACACTCCAGTCTGGGCAACAGAGCCAGACATTATCTCAGAGAAAAAAAAAAAAAAGTATTGCAAAATTTGTCCAATACAGTCAATACAATATAACTCATACCATGAAGCGATTGCTAAAATTGCTATTATAATCTTAGGCTATATTAGTAAAAGCGTATGTACAAGTAATAGGAGCTAATATTGCCACTATAATCTATAAAGTTTAGATGACAATCCTGGAATAAAATTTCAATTATGAAGATCTAGATTGTAAGAATATGAATAGAAATTATCTAAAAAGGCAATCAAATACTAAAGGGTCTGAAAAACTATGTTACTTAATAAAACTAGAGATATTTAGCCTGAAGGAAGCAGAGAGGAGTAAAAAATTATCTTAAAACATCTAAAGAGTTTCCATGAAGCAGTCTTGTTTTCTGTCATTCCAAACAAACAAGAAATAATGGGCAGAAGTTTCAGAGGTATTTGAGTTCCACTGGAAGAGTTAAGTTTACAAATAATTTCTAGCTAACAAAAGAATGGTCTAGTTCATAAGCAGTGAATTTCTCATCACCAAAAGATTAAACAAAAGCTGGTTGACAGAGCAAAGATGATATAAAAAGATTTGCAGGATGCACATATTCCTTTCAAGTAGTATGGCCTAGAGCCTTATTTCTAAAACTTGGATGTTTACATGAGTTACCTGGGATCTTATTAAAATGCAAATTCTAATTTAGTTCTAGGGTGAGTCTTGAGATTCTACATGATGCCTATGCTGCTGGCCCAGTGACCACACTTTAAATAGCACTTTAAAAGGCTTAGGGTGCACTTTGTCAAACAATTTACTTAAGAGTCGCATGCTTTTCAATAACAAGCACATCTAGTACATGAAGGAAAAAAACAAAAAACAAAACAACAGGTGACAACAAATTCAAATGACAGAGAAACGTATATTTTAATTTTAAACAATTCCATATAATTTTATCTAAACAGAGCCAAAATTACACAGTGAAATAACTTACTGTGGCTGATAAAGGAAGAGATCAATAATATTATCGCGACCTTTGGGGTGATTGAAGAAAACAAACAGAGACCAGTGAATGAGCCATGTTCTCTGTTGAAGAGACTGAAGTGGAGAACTCACAGACTAAAGGATTTAAAAATGTACACATAAAAAATATTAATATATAAGAAAGAGGCAGGACAAACATCACTAACTTCAAAACTGTAATTAAAAATGAGCCCTTCTAAGGCATGCACAAGGGTCATTATGATCAATGTCTGATCCCCTATGCCTTCTCTCTGCATGATCCTCGACATTCCAAATTATTACCCTGTTTGTAGAGACAGATTCAGTAACGTCCAGTGAAGACGTTCTAATTTATAAACTCTAACAGAAGTTATAAATTATAATCATTTCAGAAAACATTTTAAAAGCAAGAATTAAACTGAACATTTCATAGTAAGTGGTTTAATCAGATAATTGTAGATGAAAACTGTCTTCTGCATAGGACTTTCAATAATAGCTGGCACTAACAGCAGTGTCATTTTGACTGGCATAAAAAAAAAGGACACAGTAACTGTGTAACAGAAATGAAGGCTACGTTTTTTTCTCTAAGAGCCAAAAGAAGTTTGACAATTTCGTTCAAGGAGAGTCAAACTAGTTAAGCCACTATGATTTTTGTAAGGTCAACAAAAGCTAATTTGAAATTTTTTTTTATTCCCAAAATGCATAGTGTTTTTCCTCATCAGAAAGGGTGAAGGATACACAGATATTTCAGACAATAACTGTGAAAAAGTCAAACTCACATTATTATCTATGGTCTCTTTTAACCGTGTAAGGTCTTCCATGGCTGCATCCCAATTCTGCATTAAGATTTCAGAGGCCAGCTTTCCCCAGAGTGAACTTAAAGCATTTCTATCTGTTGCCGGAACCTGTTTAAGAAACCATAATTAATTATATTGTGAATATTCTTGAAGAATAAACTTAATGTATGTTCTATACCCATGTATCCCTCTAGCCTACTAAAAGACCTATAGCTCTCTACACAAAACTGTAGTTATCCAAGTGTTTATTGGATCACACTGGTTTGTTTCAAAAAACAAAGAGAAATTATGTACAGAACCAAAAAATATTTGCAAATTATGACACAAACGAAGTCAGTATGGAGAGAGGGAGACAGGGGAAAAAAAAACAGGCCCACTGATTAACAATTAATAGTTACTGAAGGATTATGTACTGAGCAATACAAGTTGGTGTTCTCCTGTAATCCTAACAAAAACCCTCTATTTTTTATTCCCATTTTCAAGAGGTGAACTAATACATAGAGTGTAACTTGCCCCAAATTACACTTCTAATCATGAAACCTCTAAATTTTATACCACAGTCTTAACCCAAAAAAAGAGGGGACTAAGGGCCATCCCTACCTCTTCTATCCACTGGTAAAACAGTCACAAACTCAAAACATTCATGATGACCAGGCTAATAACAATGAGCAAAGCTGGACTCCCTCAAAACAAAGCAGTAGAAGTAGGTAAACTGACTCTGAACCAATCAGATGTGCTAAAGCAGTAGAAACAGTAAGGGTAGTAGAGGGGGAACATCTCTACACCTCAAGATGAAATTTCAATTTTAATTTTTTACAGAAGCACGTTTACATAAAGTATAAATATCAAGTAGATATCATAATCACAAGTTAAATTCTATGTGCAGGATCAGAAATCCGATCAAGAATTCTGTCTCTACCACTTAACAGCTAGTTTGTATTTTAGCTTCCTCACTGCAACATGGGGATAAAACCCACCTCAGTTGCATAGTTTAAGTGACATGAGACATACAGAGATTACAATTATCACCTGATACAGCGTAAGAACTTGGTAAATATGAGTTATTAAAATGATGATGAAAATCATCGCAGAGATATGCATACAGATTTACATATATTTACATATATATTTACATATGTAAAATTACATTTATCTATATACATATTTACAGATATATAATCTAAACACTGGGGACCACAATACAAACTCAGTTTATACTGAAATTCTTCCTTTCAAATGTACTAAATAACATTTGGCACACTCTAAGAGCAGGCAAATAACACAGGGACTAGATTTATAAATTACATTTTGAAATGTATCCATGACACTCCTGGTTCTAGTTATTATCACAAAGTATATCCACAATACAACTTGTACATGTATATTCATAACACCTTTATTTTTAATAGGCAAAAACTAAAAGTAATCCAAATGTTCATCAATAGATGAATACATTAAAGAGACCATGGTAAATTCACAGAATGAAATACTACTGAGCAATAAATAAAATCTAACTTCTGATACACATGATAACATGAATAAATCTCAAAAACTTGCTGGTAAAAATAAGCCTAACACATACATAGTACATCATTCCACTTACATACATAAAATTCTAGAACAGGCAAAACTAATCTACAGGGACAGAAAGCAGGTCAATGGATGCCCAGGACCATGGGTGGAGTATGACCGAAAAAGGGTCTTTCTGAGGTGACAGAAATATTCTTTATCTTGATTTAATGGTAGCCACACAAGTACACAAATGTTTCAAAATTCATTGAAAATTTAAAAACTGGTTTATCAAAATCCATAAAATAATTGTTCTAATTACAAAGGATAAAATGTTTAATTCTTATAAAGGACATCTGAATATTAAAATATATCATCAAGTCAAAGATGCCATCAATCTTAACATACATTTTTATTTTATCTTTCCAAAACGAAAAACCCAGTAAAGACACTTTCTGATTTCAGATGCTAAAATACGAAAAACTATGCTTGAAAATCAGTATTAAATGCACAATTCTTACAGTGACATCACAACAGAGTACATCAGAGGGAAATTTTCAGTCAAGATCCTAATGCCTTCAAAAATTATCATTACTCATACTGTCTTAAGCCTCAAGGAAAAGTATTTTTAAATGAAGTGGTATATACAAACAGGAAACACATTTCACATCCCGAGCGAGGGAAAGATATAGCTCCAAAAATAAAACAAATAGTCCTAGGAACTAAAATCACTTTTATTTCAAAGAGCTGCTGAATAAGGGAATGGGATATATTATGGAGCCAGAGCAAAGGCCACAATGAAGGAAAATTTTAATAGAATAATCAATAGTGCTAATAATTTAAAGCAAAAGTTTTCAAAAATTCCCACCAAACCAGTTTCGTCATTTTCACAACCAAACAGAAGTTTCACAAAGAACAGAGTGTACCTGAACAATCCTCAATGTATTCTAAAATCCACAAGTCTTTTTCACAACCAAAGAAGTTTCACAACCAAACAGAGTGTACCTGAACAATCCTCAATGTATTATAAAATCCACAAGTCTTTTTCTTTTTTTTTTTTAAAGGGCAGATTCTAGGGTCACACAGCTTTAATTTATACAACACTGACCTACAATAGGTCATTTGGAGAGTCAAATTCTAATCTCAGATCATAGTTACAATGGCTCTTTCATAGCTTATGTTTCCCTAACCATAGATTTAAAATAACCACCAGAAAAGTATTTAGAAATAAAAAAGGCCACTGCAAAAAATAAAATTAATTAACTAAAGTAAAACACTGACATTTTTCATCCCAAATCCAAACAAGATTTTTAGATTTGCTATTAACAAAACCTCAAACAAATACACAGATCTTACGGTAGTGGCTATCTAAATCAAAAGAAAAAGATATCTATTCTTTTAAGCTTGGCACTGTTAGCCTGCCAATATGCCAATAGGAAGCAACAAACTCTCACCTAACACAAATGTTTTGTGGCACAAGACAGGACAAAAATTAAAAAATGAATTGAACGTAACTTCTCAGAATTTCCAGTAACTCTATGTTGACTGTTTTGATGTAAAACATATTAATTTAGTGTTTATATCACAGTATTCAAACACTTAATCAAAGTATCATTTGAGTTCCAGCACAAGATTTGTTAGGGGCAATGCAAAAGTTTAAAACTAACCCCCCAATTTTTTAAAGACAGTGAATTAACTTGTATCTTCATATTTTTAAAAAGTAAACATAAAAATTCACCAAATCTACAAGTACAAAGCTGTCACTTGTAGAAATTTTCAGACTAATATGAAACCATACTACATAAATATAATGATACTATTAACACTAGAATGTGTTATATGTGTTAGAATAAAAGCTTTTTGTAGCAGTGTAGCAAGTTTTTTAATCCTCAAAAGGTTCATGTGTACTACTCTGGCTAAACTCCATGTCATTACAGTTGGCTCTTCATACCAACCCGCTTTCAAGGGTTGATATGCTAGAAGAGTTTCAATATCTGGATTTCCAGCAGTTACCTTAAGTTTCCATGTCTTAGCAAAATGGCACATTCACTCACTGACCAGCAACAATAAATTTACTGTGCTGGAACTCTAACATGACACTAAATCTTCATTCTCAAAATTCACTCCCAGCATTAACAAATGATATAAATAACCAACTCTTTTCATGTACCTGTAATCATACCAGGCTTCTGATTTTACAATCCTGGTTTAAGCTGTTTACATTTCCAAAGTAATCAACTTTTGCTCTCCTAAATCCCTCATAATATTCAAAGTAAAACTGATGGAATTTTTTGATAAGTTACTACAAGTTTAGCATCACTGATTACCTTCAATGCACTTGCAAGTGAACCACAGCTAATCTGTAAATTAAGAATTCATCTACAAATGGGAGCAAAAAAAAAGTTGTTTTTCTTAAGCAAAGTTGGAAATAAACAGAAAATCTTTTTATTTAAAGGATGGTGGAGTTTCAAAAAGTGAAGCTGTCTATGCAATTTAAGTGTCGAAATTACCTGAATCAGTAACACTAATCTCTCCCTCCCCACAAAATGAAAATTTAATTTCCTAGAAAATAACCACAGACAGCAGCCAAGAGACTTTATTTTGCGACATGTGGAGCTACAAGTAAAGAAAAAAGTACCAGAAAATAAAGGCAAAAAAGAAACTCTTCCAGGGTTGGAAGACAAAAAGTCTCTGTTTTAAGGTCTTTTCCCAACTTCTAGGATTAACTAGAAAATCTTAGACAGGCAGGGTGCAGTGACTCATGCCTGTAAATCCCAAAGCATTGAAAGGCTGAGGAGGGAGGATCACTTCAGGCCAGGAGTTTGAGATCAGCCTGGGCAACATAGCAAAACTCCATTTTGGAAAAAAAAAAACTAAAAATTAGCCATGAGTGGTGATGCACACTTGTAGTCCTAGCTACTCAGGAGGCAAGAGAATCTCTTGAGCACAAGAGTTTAAGGTTGCAGTGAGCTATGATGGCACCACTGCACTCTAACCTGGGTGAGAGCAAGATCCTGTCTCAAAAAAAAAAAAGAAAAAAAGAAATCTTAGACTTTAAGTACCTACTTACTAGTCCAAGGTGAGTAACAAATTATAATTTCTCAAATGAGAGGCTAACTAAAACAAGGATGTTTTGATAACTGTAGAAGACACTTAATACACTTTCCTAAACAGAAGACAGAGTGAGAATGAAGTACATCAATTTGAAGGCCTGATTTTTATTTACTTCGTTTATGTTTTTTGAGATGGAGTCCTGTTGTCACCCAGGCTGAAGTGCAGTGGCACCATCTCGGCTCACTGCAACCTCCACCTCCCGGTTCGAGTGATTCTCCTGCCTCAGTCTTCCAAGCAGCTGGGATTACAGGCATGTGCCATCACGCCCAGCTAATTTTTGTATTTTAATACAGACAGAGTTTCAACATGTTGGCCAGGCTGGTCTCGAACTCCAGACCTCAGGTCATCAGCCCGCCTCAGCCTCCCAAAGTGCTGGGATTACAGGCGTGAGCCACCGCACCTGGCCAAGGTCTGATTTTTAATTTGGCTTCACACAACTCTCCTTCTCTAACAAAAGCACTAAATCTAGAAGCCTGTCAAATACAAGGTAACAGGATACTTCATGGTTCATAGTACCATTTAAACTCATCTACACCCCACGTAATGAAGAAACCATTGATCTTTAATAATAGCTGAAGGCAGAGGTAACTGGAAAAAGGTTACTACTAAGGCATAAAATATTTCATATACCCTTATGATTCCACAGTTGTTTAGAACAAGTTCAAGGAATATACATGCCATAAAGTATTAAATCAGGAATAATGGATTTACTCAACAATATTAAACACCTACAACGTGCCACTCACTGTGCTGTATAATATTATAATAATAAATCCATTACATGATATGATTCTGTTAATGCTAAAAATCATAAAATTGTTCCTACTTTTGGATTTCAAGGACAAGTTAAATCACCCTCCAAATTTTCAGGCCCTGAAACAAGGTTTCTGTTTTTCAGTGGTTTTCTTTACTTTTTTCTCTTTGGCTAATGACTGTTGAAAACTTAATGAACAAACGCAAATCTATATACACATTTTGAAGAACCAAGGGAATCTTACAAAAGACAAAAAAAAAAAAAATCAAGTACTTATACTTACCAACACTCTAAAAAAATAAAGATACTCTGCAGCTCCTGAGTAATTCCCACATTCGTACTGGAATTTTGCATATCTGTAGAGTGTATCTAAATATTCCTGCCTAAACTAAAAAGAAAAAAAAAAGATTAGGTTCTCTTTAATTCAGAGTTTTAAAACCCCATTGTAATTCGTAAGTCTTTGAGGTCAAAACTATGAATGTTTAATTCACCAACTTCTAATGTATATTTTAAAATCTATCTCTGATTATGGTATTTATTTTTGGTGGCAGCTTTTGGGAGACTTTTAAAGAACTGACCTCTGGAGTTTAAGAAGTAAATCAACGAGGGTTGTGCTGGGGGAGGTGGTTTCAGGATGAAACTGTTCCACCTCAGATTATCAGGGCATTAGTTGAATTCTCATATGGAGCGTGCAACCTAGATCCCTTGCTTGCGCAGTTCACAATAGGGTTCGTGCTCCTATGAAAATCTAATGCCTCCACTGATCTGACAGGACACAGAGCTCAGATGGTAATGCTTGCTCACCTTCTAATCACCTGCTCTGTGGCCCCCTGGTACTGGTCCATGACCTGGGGGGGTTGGGGACCCCTTAAATAATGAATTATATGCAAAGCCTCATGCTTTGAGTTAACACAAGGGAAATGAGATTGAGTGATGGTTAGGAAAGCTTCTAACATTTCTTTGTGAATCTGGGGACTTATAAAGACTTTGATAATTTCAAAGGCCATTGTGTTCCACAAGGCGGCCAAAGTATTACCTAATTCTATTGCTCAAAACATTTCTAATTCAAATTTCATTCTGTTTGCCTTACTTGTTAATCCATAAGAAAAGGCATCCTATGCCCTATAATATATAATACTTAGCTTGCTGTTGGCACTAATATAAAATGCCAACAACTACTGCCAGCTATTACAACTCTGGAATAAATAAAAGCTTTGAGAATTTCTGTTACCTAAAGGTGAGCTATAAGCACCTATTTTCCTATCAGCAACAATTTATAAAAACTGAAGTTTTAAAAATAGAACCAGATTTTATCATTAATAAATTAATCTGGAAATTATATTCTTAGGCCAAGCCATGAGCCTATCTGTACAAACCAGTCTTTAGTCAGCATTATTAAAACATAACAACTTTAAATTATTTTTAAAACACTTACACCATGCTTGTCCGCCAGGTAGTCAAAGAGCATCCTACCATCCCTAAATGATAATTAAAAAAAATTACAGTATTTTAAAGGCCACAGAAAACAATATAAGCATATCCAACTTCTAAATTATTACCTATGCAAAGTCACCTTAAATAAGTACGTAAACGTTATAAGACTTCCAGAATAAAATAAGCAGGACATTACATGTTTGGAATGTAAAGAATTAGTAAGTATACAAGGAGAGCTACAAACTTTAAAATTCACTTTCAGATGTCTTTAGTTCTAATTGAAAATTAGTGTTGTTTCACCACGACTAACGTAAGGCCTTTAGAAGTCTGTCAGGTAATAAAACCAGAAGATTCTGACTATTTCTAGTAAGGTCAGAAGTCTACTTAGTGGTAATCTATTAAGAATGGTTTTTGCTCTCTGTGGTCAGATTTCTAATAGATAATGCAGTCTAATTATAGAGACTGATATAAATGTACCATGTACAAACTACAAGAAACTAATCCTATATACAAATTTTGTCCCCTCTTCCAATCTGTTAATATTTTTCAAAAGGATGATTCTGACAAATTTACAAGATTAATAAATCATGCCTGGCTGGCCACAGTGGCTGATACCTGTAGTCCCAGCACTTTGGAAGGCTTTGGGAGGCTGAGGCAGGTGGATCACCTAAGGTCAGGAGTTTAAGACCAGCCTGGCCAACATGGTGAGACCCAATCTCTACTAAAAATACAAAAATTAGCCAGGCATGGTGGCGGGTGCCTGTAATCCCAGCTACTTGGGACGCTGAGGCAGGAGAATCGCTTGAACCTGAGAGCTGGAGGTTGCAGTGAACACAGATGGCGCCACCGCACTCCAGCCTGGGTGACAGAGTGAGACTGTCTCAAAAAAATTAATAAAAATAAAAAAATCATGTCTCATGTACATGACAGCTATGCTACATACCCTACATAATCATTAGGTATAACCAAGTGCCATATTTAATTTTTCTTAAATTAGCTTTGTGTTATCTTGAGATGCTGACAGACTGGTAAAAGACAAACTGATAATAAAGACATCAAGGGACAGGGGATATAAGGGTAGCTGCCCACCTTATGAGCATTTTCGTTGTTACTGTTTTTTGAGACGGAGTCTCACTCTGTCGCCCAGGGTGGAGTTCACTGGCACGATCTCGGCTCACTGCCACCTCCGCCTCCCGGGTTCATGCAATCCTCCTGCCTCAGCCTCCCAAGTAGCTGAGATTACAAGCATGCACCACCATGCCCAGCTAATTTTTGTATTTTTTTTTTTTTTTTTTGAGATGGAGTCTCGCTCTGTTGCCCAGGCTGGAGTGCAGTGGCGCGATCTCGGCTCACTGCAAGCTCCGCCTCCCGGGTTCACGCCATTCTCCTGCCTCAGCCTCCCGAGTAGCTGGGACTACAGGCGCCCACAACCGCGCCCGGCTAATTTTTTGTATTTTTAGTAGAGACGGGGTTTCACCGTGGTCTCGATCTCCTGACCTTGTGATCCGCCCGCCTCGGCCTCCCAAAGCGCTGGGATTACAGGCGTGAGCCACCGAGATGAAGTTTCACCATGCTGGCCAGGCTGGTCTCAAACTCCTGACCTCAAGGGATCTGCCCACCTTGGCCTCCCAAAGTGCTGGGATTACAGGTGTGAGCCACTGCACCTGACTGCATGTTCCAAAATGAAAACATTTTCTTATCCTTCTCACAGAAGAAATATGCTACAATGTATCTTAGGGAGCACAATTTTGCTTGAAGATTTAATGGGGTGAGATATGTCCCCATAAAAATATAGGTGTATTATAATACTGAGTATGAAATGTACATGAAATTCCAACACAGAAGAACTTCCACAAAAACTGAACACTTGCAGTGGATCACAGTGAATAACTTTGTATTGCACTACTTACACCACTCACGTATATAATCACTGTCCTCTGGCTGATTATTTCCGGGAAAGTGTTAAGTATGATACTATATGTTCAATGAAATTTAAAAAGGGGGAATTGCAAGAAAAAGGTTTTCACATTGAAAATAGGTAGTTTGTAAGTATAATAAGATTACAAGTTTTTAACACATGATCCTTTCATTTATCTCAAATTCAGTACCTATTAAGCTACAAGGATCCTCTTTTTCTAACTGGTGAACATATCTACATTCATCTTATTCATACTTTGATCCCATAACTCCCCAGTCTTTGAGTGACTGAACTACAACATCCTAAATTTTCTGTTGTAGTCTAACAACTGGATTATTTCAGGTGTCCCTTTGTAATCACCTACATGTGACCTGAAGATCTAAAACTACTTATTCTAAAAGCATACAAGTAGTTTAGTATAATATATAGTTCTGCCTATGCATGTAATGTGTGTGTATATATATATCTCTCTGTGTGCGTGTTTTCCTGCATATAGTCATCCCTCGGTATCCCCAGAGCATTAGTTCCAAGACCTCGCCTACCCTCTACTCACCAGCCCCCTCAAATACCAAAATCTGCAGGTGCTTAAGTCCCTTATGTAAAATAGCACAGTACCTGCATGTAAACTATACACATCCTCCCATATACTTTAAATCATTTCTAGATTACTTATACCTAACGCAACGTAAATATCATATAGTTGTTGTTATACTGTAGTTTTATTTGTATTTTTTATTGCAGTATTGTTATTTTTTAGGTTTTTCTCCTGAATATTTTCAATCTGCAGTTAGTTGAATCCACAGATGCAGAACAGAGAGTTGACTGTATTTATATGTAGTATATGTCATAGTATAGTATAGTATGCTATAGTATGGCACAGTAATTGTGTATTTGTTGCTTTTCTAAAAATATCTGGTAACATCTTCACAAATCACAAAGGAAAACTTAAGAGCCAATCTCTAAAAATTTGGTTTAAACACATAGAAATTAAAGGTATAACATGGCAAAATATCCAGCAATTCCTCAAGTGAATTCAATGGTAGCTAGGATTTATCTCAAATGATAATATTCAATTTTAGTAAGAGATTTTATTTTTAAATGTTTCTAATAACCCAAAGGACTTCTACCCGTGACATGTACTAAGTCAGAGTAAGGCAACATGCTTACGAAACAGTAAATCTACTTCCAGGTAAAGGGAAGTTAGGAATAAAATAATCTTATCAGCTCAAAACTACCCTCCTTGGGCGAGGCATGGAGCTTAGAAGGGTATGAAAGAATGTAGCCAGGAATAAAGTGAACTCAGGTTTCTCTTATAACGAGTTGTGCTCTAAAGCGCTAGGTATTGCACAGGCACAGGGTTTCTTTTTTATTTTTTCCTGAGATGGTATCTCACTACATCACCTACTTTGGAATGCAGTGATATGACACTGACTCATTGCAACCTCCACCTCCTGGGCTCAAGCCATCCTCTGACCTCAGCCTCCCAAGTAGCAAGTAGCTGAGACTACAAGCGTACGCCATCACGTCTGGCTAATTTTTTGTTGCTTTTATTTTTTTGGTAGATAGAGGGTTTCACCATGTTGCCCAGGCTGGTCTCGAACTCCTAGGCTCAAGCGATTCGCTTGCCTCTGCCTCCCCAAGTGCTGAGATTACAGGCGTGAGCCACCACACAGTGGCACAGCGTTTCTTAATGGACATTTTGAGTTAGGTAATTCTTTGTTGGGGAGTAGCGGGAGGGGTGCTGTCCTGTGCACTGTAGGATGCTTAACAGCATAACTGGTCTCTACTCACTAGGTGCCAATAGCACCCCCCAGTTATGACAGCCGAAAGTATCTCCAGACATTGCCAAATGTCCCCAGGAAGAGGGAAATAGGAGATGGAAATTCTGTAGCATAATCAGTACAGATAAGTACTAAAGAAGTTTTTTAAAAAAAAAAAAAACAGTATTAATATTAATATTTATTAATTATACTGGCCCCTACAAAATAAGGATAAATGAACATTTAAAAATGAATAAAACACTCATTTAAACCTATGAACTTTTACTGTGGGATACTGGATAAAGTTTGAATTAACATTTGTATTAATCCAGAAACGAGAATTTTTCGAATTCAAAATTAAGAAGAGTTTACCTGGTTGACTGCATTTGCCTCGTAGTTTCTGGATCTTCAAACATCTTCACAATTGGTTCTGTTTCTGCCTGAAGCTGTTTCAGTTGTGCAACCACTGTGGTTCTTTTCTCTCTCAAAGCTAATTAAAAATGCAAAAGAGTACTACAATGGGCATGTTAAAGTGTGCTACTCATCATGAGAATGTCTGGAAATTGTTCAGAGTATTTAAACCATACATACATTTACTCATCCCCAATATATTCATATGCCAGGGGCTACTCACTCAGAAGTGTCCCCCAATCCCTAATTTCTTTTTTCTAGTAATACAAAGCCACAAAAAGGAAAAGGGAATCCTCTTTCTACTCTTAAGGGTAACTGGAGAATATACAGCCTTGGGGTGACAGAGGTGAAAGAAAAAAAGGGTAGGACCCAATTATCTATCATTTAATTCTCCATTGCAGAAACTTCATTCCAAGGGTTTTTATATTTGTTCCCATTTAATTTTCTTAGGTGAATATTATCCAGGAGTTTTTGAACAAAAACTCTGAGGGGCTTACATATTACTATTACAGGCTATCCACTAGGTTGAATGGAATTTAAATCCATTAAATAATCTCTTTTAACTATAAATCCAGCTCTATAACCTCTCAAACCAAATTCTATTGTTCCTTTTACTATACGATGAAAAGGTGGAGAAAACTTGCACATAACCAACTCTGGTAACACCTTAATGTTTCATTAAGAAACTAAGAAATAGGCCGGGGGCAGTGGCGCCACGCCTGTAATCCCAGGAACTTGGGAGGCCAAGGCAGGCTGATCACGAGGTCAGGAGTTCGAGACCAGCCTGGCCAATATGCTGAAACCCCATCTCTACTAAAAATATAAAAATTAGCCAGGCATGGTGGCGCGTGCCTGTAGTCCCAGCTACACAGGAAGCTGAGGCAGAAGAATCACTTGAACCTGAGAAGTGGAGGCTGCAGTGAGCCAAGATCACGCCACTGCACTCCACCCTGCCTAAGAGTGAGAGACTCTGTCTCAAAAAAAAAAAAGAAAAAAGAAACTAAGAAACAGTTTCCTTTTTGTTTATATATGACAAACTAAAGAAGAGCTACTGTTGTTGCAGGGAACTACAAGTCAAACAGATGGATTATGTTTAATGTAATAATTTCTGCATTACATATTAGAAAGTATATTCTAGAGCAGTCTTTCTCAAACACAGGAGAAGATCTATGATCAAATTTTGAGAAATGCCAATTTAAACAGAGTATACTGTATTTCTCTACTGCCAGAATTCTTGGAATCTTTAAAAATGTAATGTGCATTGAAGAAATGACACAGAAGTATTTCCCAAACCTAGAGAACCACTTTTTTTTTTTTTTTTTTAAGTAACGTTACCACAGAAAGCAAGGGTTTGGAAAACACTGTATCACAGTAGTTCCCCAACTTGAGTGCTAGGCCTCACTTAACAGTTTTGATTAAGTAGGTCTGGTGTGTGGTCAAAAACCTGCATTTCTAACAAGCTCTCCCAGGTGAACTGATGACGGTGGTCCTGGGGACCATATTTGGAGAACAATGTCTACACTAGATGCCTCAAAATTAAAATAAAATAAAAATCTCTAAGGCACACAATGCAGTAACTAAAAAAGGTAGCAACCCAAGAACTGCAACATTCTCAGAAAATTCTAAGGAATGTGAATCATAAGCACAACTTTGATGATACATACTATGAACTGAAGGTATCTGATGACCATATTTTAAAGTAGTTCCACATCTTTCACAGGGAAAAAACAATACACTTCAGAAGACATGAAACCTTTATATAACCTCTCACCCAAAGAACATTAACATTCAAATAATAATTAAGTCTTTTGGCTAAAGCTCTCTTATAAATCATAAAACTTTAATACACATATCCTCAAGTCACAAGACAAGCTTCAATTCTAATGACAAAACTTACCATGAGGAATATCATCAGAATAAAGGTTTTTGTATACATCCATAGCAAAGTCTACCATGTTGGTATCACTAAGAAGGTCCAATTTACCTTGTAATAATTCCTTTTCATTATATATCTGAAAAAGAAGATAACTTTCTAATGAATATATTTAAGTCCCCCAAATAAACTGATTAATACTAAGACTAATTTACCTGGAAATATATTTCAAGAAATACTTTATAAAATATGATAAACTATTAACTTCCCCCTCTTGTAATAATGGCAAGCAATATGGCAAGCAAACAACCTACAGACATAAAAGTATTTTACTTACCTAAAATTTTTAAAATGAAGAGAATTACTATAGACATTCCAACCTCCTTCTGATTTATATGATCTTATTTTTTATATGTCCCTACAAACCATCTCTTATCTTTTCTAGGCAAGGCTGTGGATAAACAAAATCCACACCATCTTTTCTGTAAAGCAGAAATAGCTGTCACCTCTCCATATCCAGGTAATCAGTAATAAACTCTAACATGCTTCTCCATCCACACTGCTGAAACAAAAACTGCACCGATTTTTTAGGTCAACCATATCAGACCAGGCTTTTGCTTTGCAAAGGGTCCAAAAAATATAATTTAACCTATAGTACAGGCAGCAAATAGATACATATACAAACTCACATCAACATGAAGTGTGCTGAGTAATATATAAAGATTCTACAAAATATTCAGGGACATAAATGCTTCAGCAAAAGAAGAGATTTCTGTACTGAACTTAATTTTGCAAGGAAAAAAAATCCAGGCAAATGCCACAATATTTCACTGCCCGCAAGAAGATGAAGGTGGTCAAATGGTATTTAGCCATAAGAGCGAAACCGAACCTTCCAAATTACATGCAGAACTCCTATAAATGAGTAAGACAAGACAGCCCATGCAATTGAAATGGCTAAAAGATAGGCACTTTGCAAAAGAAGACAACAAAATGGCCAAAAAACACATGAAAAGGTTCTCAACTTCATTAATCATAAGTAAATGCATATTAAAAATTACAATAAAAATTTTAAAAATCCTGACAGTACCAGTGTTGCTGTGGATGTAGACTAACTGGAACATATACTCTTCCGGCAGGAATAAAATCATTTTGTAAGATTTTTATCTCCCAAAGCCAAACATACTTTTTGATCCAGCAATTCTGTTTCGAGGCATCCAAAACAAACAGGTGCATATAGTCAAAGTGCACTTCCAAAAACGTATACAGGAGCACTATTTGTAATAGCCAAGTCTATCAATGTTAAAATGAGAAAACAAACCACAGCATACTCATAGGAGACTAACATTCGGCACTGAAAAATCAATGAACTACTTCTGCTATCCTAAAAACATGATGACTCACAAACAACGCTGAGTGAAAGCAGTCATACAAAGCAGTACATGGTGGTAAATGCTTAACTCCACCTATGTAAAAATCAAAAACAGGCAAAATGAATCATCAGACTACAGCTTACCTTTAGGGGGTGTGAGTAGTGACTAACAGGGGTCAAGAGGAAGGTTTAAAGATGTCTGTAGTGTTTTATTTATTAATCTGAGTGGTGGTCACATAAATGCATTCACTATTCATTTTGAAAAAAAATGTATCATTGACCAGTACATTTATATTTGTGTACTTCTATGAATGAACGTTGTATCTGATAAAATTTACCAGAAAAACCTTAACTTCTCATCACTTTGCGCTATAGAAACCGTAATCTTAAGTAAAAACATTCTTTTCCAAGCATGCAACCTCTCCTCACCACTCTATTAATAACTTTTAATTTGCCATGTCTCTCTCCACGATAGATTCAACAGCCCTGCTCCTCTACCATCAGGTGTTACTGACCTGTTCTGAAATCTACATCTGCCTCTCAATTCTGCCTCATAGGCAGAAAGCAAATACTTCAGACTTCATATCAAGAAGCCACAATTGAAAATACTATATAAGTACTCACATGAAAAAGGAGAATCAAATTTCCACAATTTTTTCATGAAAAAAGGTTAAGAGGGTAAAAGAATCTGTTGACTATACAGAGGTATTAAACGACAAAGTCATGAAGGTTCCAATTCAGAGCCCAGGGTCCTAAATATTTCACTACCTGGCCTGCTTCACATGAAAATAAAGAGTGAGAAACAAATATGTATTCATTCAATCATTTATTAAACAATCATAAAAAGCCTTTATGCCAGACTCCATATTATGTGCTGAGAGCACAAGGAAGCTTCTGCTCTCATAAGGCTTATATTCTCCAATGTAACAAACATATGAAATTGTTTTTCTCTTGGTGCAATACAATAGTCTCCCCTTATCCACGAGCTAAATGTTCCAAGACCCCCCCAGCGGATGCTTGAAACCGCAGATAGCCCCAATCCTATATTTACTGTTTTTTTCCTATACACGCATACCTACGATAAAGTCTAATTTATAAACTGCGCACAAGAGATTAACAATAACAAAATATAACAATTAAGTTAGCATATACAGTGTGGATACATTGGACAAAAGGATGATTCATGTCCCAGTCTAAAGCAAGGGAGCGAGACAGATTTCATCCTACTACTCAGAAGGGCGCACAATTTACAACTTACGAATTGTTAATTTCTGGAATTTTCCATTTAGTATTTTTGGACCGTAACTGGAACTGCAGAAACTGAAACTGCTAAAGGGGTGTGGGGGGCTGCTGTATCCTCACATAGCAGGATCACTGACTCTATCCTAACCATCTAGCCTTCAAAACTCAAAGCCTCACCTCCTCAAAGTATTCTTTGCTCACTGAAGATAACAGAATCTCAATTTTGATAGCACCCTACCAGTACCTCTTCGACATTTATTACTTTTTACCTTATATAAAAAATATTCAACTCTAAAGGATAGGTAAGTTTTTAGTGGTGAGATGTCTGGGTTTTATCTTGGATTTCTCAGTTACATGGCACTATACAATTAACCCTTGAACAACAAGGGTTTGAACCACACAGGTCCACGTATACACTTTTTTTCAATAAAAGTTACACCAAGTGTGCTTGCCTTTCCTGACTTCCCTTCCACTTCCTCTACTTCTTCCACCTCTGCTACCCCTGAAACAGCAAGACCAACCCCTCCTTTTCCTCCTCCTCAGCCTACTCAATATGAAGACAATGAAGACCTTTATGATGTACTTCCACTTACTAAAAAGTGTATTTCCTTATAATTTAAGACCACTTTCTCTAGCTTACTTTATTGTAAGAATACAGTATATAACACATACAACACAAGACTGTTCATGTTCTCAGTAAGCCTTCCTGTCAACATTGGGGTATTACTAAGTTTTGGGGGAGTCAAAAGTTCTAACGGATTTTTGACTGCAGGAGTTCAGCATTCCTAACCCCTGTATTGTCCAAGAATAAAATGTACTTAGTAAATGGTAATTAAATACTCCAGCATCTGTCTTCCTCTTGGTATATTACAGTCATCTTACCAACATTTTCTCCAAAGAGGCAGTTTTTCCCACTGATTCTCAACTGCCTGCAGTTCATAGTTTTCGTCTAGCCCTATGAAAATCTAATTTACATTTACATATTCCTCCTTTCCTTCTGTCTGCCATTAAAAAAATGAAATTATAAAGAACACAAAAATATATAAAGTTCAGCTGGTTCAGAAGTACTTCTACAAGTAGCTGGTAAAAAGGCTTTCAAAATATGGCACTTTTACTAGATCTTCTGTCCTCACTTTTCCAGAAAAGAAAACAATGCAGATGGGAATGTTTTACTCAAGGTCTAAAATACAGGTGTAAAAAGAAGAATCAAAGCAAAAATATATCTTTTCAAGAGAAAGTTTTACATGACAAGACATTCTTGGACATTTACTGAAAATGATCTTAGCTGTTACCTAACATCAACAACTTCAGAGTTGTCTATGTTTAGAAAAGGTGCATAGGAATATGAGGATTATACCTGTCTAATGAGCCACAACCACCTGGTAGCTGGTTTTGTGGGACGTTTTTGTTTTATTACTTTTTGTCTTTTGCTACACAAAATCCACTCCCCAAATCTAGAGTTCCCTAAGTAGACTTATATTGTAGTCTGCTTCCAGAAACAGAATTCACTTATTTTTCTGGCCAAAATTCCTTCATCATTGCAAATTACTTTGCATTATTAAAATGCATCAATTTCCCAATAAACTCACGGTATAACTAATGTCAATTTTAGCCAAAACTTTCAAGTCCAATAAAACTTTTAGGAATGACACACGCTTTAAAATGAAGTTCCAGAATTACACATTTATTCACAATATCTTGAGTAGATAATTGAACATTAACGACCAATTCAAATCACTTGAAGTCAGTACAATGTACACACTGGAAAACACATTTAAAGATTGTGGGGATTTTTTTTGGGTGGGGGGCAGGGGAGCGCCGTCCCCATCTGACGAAATATGCTGTTCTAGAAAGTCCTACTTATCAAAGACAAGAAAACGCAAAGAACTCACAACTTGATGGAAATTAAAGCGCTAGATACTTATTTTAAGTGTAAGAGAATCACTCTAAACGACTCGACATACAAAAACCCATAGCCAAGCCCAGGCTTCCCACCGTTTCCAAAAGAAAAATCAAAAGCTCTAACAACACTCCAGGTTGCTTTTAGAAGCCGGCCTGTGAAGCTCTAACGTTCTCTAGAGAAACCAGCGAATCACCAACTTCCGAGAACTGATGCGAACGTCCCTCTGGCACTGACACCTCAGTTAGTGAAGGAGACGTCTTTTCTCTCTCCGTAACCTCCCTCCTTCTCACTGCCGAATACCGCGGTGCTTCTTAACTGAGAAGACGCTAAACTACCGCAAGATCCTTAGTGTCCGTCCAGGAACCAAACTCGCGACCGCCTCGCACGTGTCAGGCCTAGGGCTACAGACACCGCCTTTCGGCCTTGCTCAGCAACTCACCCGCCCCGACGCCTTCCTCGCGCCCAAAGACCCCCTCACCTCCTTTACAGAGAGAAACTCAAGGAGCGGAAAGACTAGATGCCGATCCAAAAAGTGCGCGATGCGAGTAGTCAAGTCGTACTCCGCCATCTTGCCAAAGAAAAGGGAGTCTGTGCTCACTAAAACTTTATTGGTAGCGCCGACAAACGAACAGACAGATCCCGTACTGCGCATGTGCCATGGTAAAACTGGGCTAAGGAAAGGGGCGGGGTTTAGCCTGGCGAGCAGAGGACAACGACGCATGCGCGCGGGTTGTCCAACTTCTTTGCGTTAAGGCGCGAGTGACGGGAACAGTTCCCTGTATCTATTTGTAGGTTTGTCAGTATTCTCTTTTTAATGCTGACTTTCGATTACCAGTCAGTGGCTTGCAGCCTATTCCGTTAATAACTAGTGAAACCTCAGAATTGATTGCTGAAGCAATGTGACTGCATTGGGATGCGGCAAAGGAAAAGATGAGAAGGGCCCTGATCTCCAGGAAGTTGCATACTGGGAGGAGTATCTAGGCTTTTTCATTTGGCATACGCTAATCGTTTTGTAAGCGATTGTTAAAGTGAGGGTGGGTTTTTAGACAAATAAGTGAAAAAAAATTTCAGATATAGTAAGAGCCATAATTTGGTGGAGATGGTTGAGTTGGACCTATTTAATTAGGATGATTAGAGAAAACTCAGATGGGAATTAAGAAAATTAGAGAAAAGTCTGATAGAGTAACAAGTTAGCTGAGAGTTGTAGTAAGAGAAGGAAGTGATTAAAACTAGAGCCAGGGTAAAAACATGCTTGTTGGAAAGTACAGCAAAGACAATGACCATGAGACAGGAAGGGACAGTGTGTGGCGTTTCAAAAACTGAGTGGCCTGTGTGTACTGGGGAGTAAGGTTAAAGAGTTTGACAAGGGTCAGGTCATGATTATGGTAAGGAATGTGGAATTTTTTTCTAAGTACTCTTCAGTGTCCTTTGCTAGTTACTTCTCGTCTTTTAGGCCTTTTCATTTTGAAGAGCCCCAGGGATCTTGGACCTCTTCTCCATCTAGACTAATGCCCTATATTGATAACATCAAGCCTAATGGCTTTACATGCAGTCCACACATTGACAACTCCCAAAATACAGCCGCAACACTGACTGTTAGTCCCAGACTCAAATGTACCCGGCATTTCAACATGAGCTTGTCCCAAACCAAGTTTCCCCATGTAGCTTACCAAACCTGCTCCAGCTGCACTCTTCACCTCAGTGGCCACTCCATCTGTACAGTTCCCCAAACTCAAAACCTTAGAATCATCATTGACTTTTTCTTTTACACTGTGCATGAAATCTACCGACAAACCCTTTAACTCTAATCTTTAACGCACATTCACACCCAATCAGTTCACACCACCTCCAAAGTTACAACTCTAGTGCAAACCACCACTATCTCCTGCTTTGACTTTGGGAATCACTTCTTCACTAATCACCTTGCTTCCCCTCTTCCTCCTGTGCTTTATTCTTCATACAGCAGCCAGAGTGAATTTTTAAAAGTCAAATTATGCTTAAAGCTCTCCAAGGCTTGCTGTCTCATTTAGAGTAAAAGATGTAGTAGCTATTTTAAATGACCTAAAAAGCCAGTAGATCATCTGGACCCATTACCTCTCTGACCTCATCTCCTAAATGTTCCCGTCTTGCTCACTTGTCTCCAGCCACACAGATTTCCCTTCAGTTCCTCAGATACTCCCACCCTGCTTTCATGTTGTCCTGTTATATTTGCTATTCCCTCTACCCGCAATGTTCTTCACCCAGTTATCTGCATAGCTTTTTTCCTGTCTCCTTCATATTTTGCTCAAATGTCATCTGCTCAATGAGACCTTCCTTGACCAGTCTATTTAAAAATGTAACTAACTTGCCTACAAGAACCTCTCATTTTGCTTTCCTGCTTTATTTTTTTGTTTGTTTTACAATATTTTACTTATTTTGTTTACTTTTGCTCTTCCCTGACTATTGTATTAATTCCACAAGATCAGGGATTTTGTCATTATTTTAAATATAATAACCGCTTCTCCAAAGTGTAAACAATGCCCAGTATATAGTTGGCACTCAATAAATATTTGAATGAGTATATGAGTGAAAGAAAGAGGTAGGCCTTTGGAGAGTGATGTAAAGTTTATTTATTTATTTATTTATTCATTCATTCATTTTTTGAGACAGAATCTCACTCTGTCGCCAGGCTGGAGTGCAGTGGTGCAATCTTGGGTCATGGGTCACCGCAACTTCCGCCTGCCAGGTTCCAGCGATTCTCCTGCCTCAGACTCCTGAGAAGCTGGGACTACAGGCATGTGTCCAGCTAATTTTTGTATTTTTAGTACAGACAGGGTTTCACCATGTTGGCCAGGATACTCTTGATCTCCTGACCTCATGATCTGCCGGCATCAGCCTCCCAAAGTACTAGGATTACAGGCGTGAGCCACCGCGCCTGCCCTGATGTAAAGATTTTTAGTGGAAATGTATTCTAACTATTGTGTGGTAAATGAATTGCGAAGGGGCTCAAGTGAAGGCAGCAGGATCAGTTTGATGTTCTCAGACTGGGTGAGGGCTAATGGTGGTATAGACAAGTATATTCATACAAGTAGAGAGAAGAGATAAGAACCAAGATGAACTTTGGTGGTAGAACCAACAAGACTTGCTCCTGGATTGGATATGATGGATAAGGAAGAGTAAAAATCAAAATAATTTCTAGAAATACTACTCAGCAATAAAAGGAGGGGACTAGCTATACACACAACAACCTGAATGAATTTGCAGGGAATTATGCTGAGTGAATAAAAGTTAGTTCCCAGCTAGGCGCGGTGGCTCACGCTTGTAATCCCAGCACTTTAGGAGGCCAAGACGGGCGGATTGCCTGAGGTCAGGAGTTCAAGACCAGTCTGGCCAACATGGTGAAACCCTGTCTCTACTAAAAATACAAAAAAATTAGCCAGGCATGGTGGCGTGCATCTGTAATCCCAGCTACTCAGGAGGCTGAGGCAGGGAAATTGCTTGAGCCAGGGAGGTGGAGGTTGCAGTGAGCCGAGATTGCACCACTGCACTCCAGCTTGGGCAACACAGCAAGACTCCATCTCAACAAAAAGAAAAAGTTAGTTCCCAAATGTTACATATTAAATTATTTTATTTACATAATATTTTTACATGACAAAATTATGGAAATGGAAACTAGATTAGTGATTGCCAAGGGTTAAGGAGGATGTGGGGGTGGGAGGGAAGTGAGGGTGGCTATAAAAGGCAATAGCAGGGATCTTTGTGGTAATGGAATGCTCAGCATCTTAACTATGTCATTATCCTGGTTGTGCTATTTTACTGCAGTTTATGTTTTGTTTTCAACAGCTTTATTGAGATAAAATTTATATACCATACAGTCCACCCATTTAAAGTATACAGTTCCATAGACATACACAGATAAGTGCAGTCATCACCACAGTCAATTTTAGAACATTTCCATCACTTCAAAAAAAAGCCTTGTACCCTTTAGTTAAGGGTAACTCCCCTATCCTTCCATTCCCCTCACTCCAGCCCTAAACAACCACTTTCTTTCGGTACAGGTTTCCCTATTCAAGATGCTTATATGTATGGAATCGTATAACATGTGGCCTTTTGTGTCCCACTTTTTTCAATTTACATGATGATTTCAAGGTTCATCCAAATTGTAGCAGGTACTAGTACTTCATTCCTTTTTATGGTCATTGTATTTATATAATACTCCATTGTATTTACAGACTACATATTGTTTACCCATTCATCTGCAAATGGACATTTATATAGTTTGCATCTTTTGACTATTAAAGATAATGTTACTATAGTAATTCCAGCACTTTGGGAGGCTGAGGTGTGGGGATCACTTGAATTCAGGAGTTCGAGACTAGCCTGGCCAACATGGCAAAACCCCATCTCTACAAAAAATACAAAAATTAGCCAGGCGTGGTGGCATACGCCTGTAATCCCAGCTACTCTGGAGGCTGAGGCAGGAGAATCGCTTGAACCCGGGAGGCAGAGGTTGCAGTGAGCTGAGCTCACACCACTGCACTCCAGCCTGGGTGACACAGCAAGACTGTCTCAAAATAATAATAATAATAATAATAATAATAATGCTACTATAAACATTCATGTACAAGTATTTTTGTGGACATGTGTTTTCAGTTTGCTCAGGTATATGTATAGGAGTGGAATTGCTGGGTTACATGGTTATCTCTGTTTCATAGTTTGAGGAAGTTCTAGACTGTATTATAGTTTTGCAAGATGTTACCATTAGAGTAAACTGGATAGAGAGCAAATGGGATCTCCCCTGTGCTTACAAGTTGATCTTACAACTGCATGTGAATCTTCTATCTCAAAATTAAGAAGTTTATTCCTGCACTTTGTGCTTAAGAAACTGAGTCCCCTCTGGTGACCAGTATATGGGGTAGAATGGCAAAGGAATATGCGTGGGTACTTAAACAAGGAGTTCTGTTTCAGGCAAAATGAGATCTCTATTAAATATCCAAGTGGTCATATCTAGTAAGCAAATGGAGATACTATTCTGGATGAGTTGATATAGTTATCGATTGCTTACAATGAATGTTACCTTGTATATTTTCAATGATGTGGAAATATTATATGATCTCTACCATTATGCCATTTACAGTATTGTTGGGAAAGCAAGGCAGAATGCCCATGAAGCAGAGAATACATGCTAGTATAAGCTGCTAAATTTTGGGGCATAGTCTGTGTGGCCTCTAAGAGTTGAGAAATAACAGTTGTAATTTGAAGTTTCCCGAAATTCCAGGAAGTTGTAATAAAATATAAACAGGAAAACAGGCAAAAGTGAGGTAGAGCAAAGGAAGGAAGGAAACAGGTAGCAGTATGAAAACTTGCCCAAAAGGAACAGAGAACATCTTTGAGAAGCAGAGAGAAATAAGATGCAATTCTATTAGACAAACATTCTGAACTTTTACCATAGGCAAGGTACTAAGCTAGGTGTTACTGGGAATATATAATCAATAAGTGTTAGTCCGTGGCCACAGGAGCTTTCAGTCTTATAGATGATAATTATTAATTTATTCAATTTAAACTAAATGCTTACAACATGCTAGGCACTATTCTAGGTCCAGGGAATACAGAAGGAAAGAAAACAACATTCTCTAAAGAAAACTAACAACATTTAAGTGGAAGGATGTAGATAA